TGAGGGGAAATGGAATCTCTGCCAAGACGCAGCCTTTTAATAATTCTACTTGCCAATACAGGCCAGATGGAAATGGATGGATTGGTACCAAGTTACTTAACAAACCCAGTGACAAAGTGCATGGCCCTCAGCTAGGGAGCAGGTCTGCATACCATGTCTCCCCAGGGGAGGAGAGCCATCTCATCCTCAGTGTCTGGGAAGACCCAGACCACCCCCACCCACCACTCAAAATCCGTTCCTGAGCTTGGGCTTCAGCCTCCAATAATTTGTCTACTTGCCTTTTCCCACAATGGGAAGAATGTAGAATGGCTCAGAGTGCTTGCTAATCCGATGATTAGCTTCTAAATTTTCATGCTAGTAAAAGAGATTCAAATGACCCCGAGAGAGAACTGCGTTCTGCTTCATTGAGGACTATCCCCCGACATTTCTGCTCCTGCTGTTTGAACTTCCCTGCCCACTCACAGCGACTCTACAGGACAGCGTGGACGTGCCCCTGTGAGATTCCGAGCCTGTCACTGCTTACAGCAGTGGTTCTCAACCTTCCTAATGCCACGGACCTTTAATACAGTTCCTCATGTGGTGGTGACCCCTTCAAACATAAAATTATTTTTGTTGCTACATCATGACTATAATTTTGCTACTGTTATGAATCAGGTGACTCCTGTGAAAGGGATGTTTGACTCCCAAAGGGGTCTTGACCCACAGGTTGAGAACCGCTGGTTTATAGGATTGGAAAGCGAGGATGGGGAAATAGCGATTCTGAAACCAGCATGTAAACCCTCCCCCCATGCACAGAGCAGACATGCTTCCTCCTCAGCTCTTTGCCTTCAAACATTCTCCAGGGTCGCCTGTGGTTTGTAGCCTTGATGGTGGCCCTGCTCTCTAGTTTCGAAAACATAAACATCCTTTTGGAGATTTATTTTACAGTTCATCTCCTGATTTGCCGGGGCTGGGAAGATCAGGTCCAGATTTTCTCATTACTTGGGCACAGATTTTGCAAGACAGACTAGGGCTGGCTTCCGCCTGAAGCAGAAACCACCTCTGCGAGGGAGAGGCCAGTCCTCCCTCTCTCCACTGTTTGAACGTCAACCATCAGCATCCTCACCATCTCCCAAATCAATTATTTGAAAAAGAATAAACAGGTGCTTCAGAGACACTGGAGTTATAAAAAGGGAACAGCAAATTATTTTTTCATGGGCCAGCTGCTCAACTGCTGTGATTCCAGGGAAGGTCTTCTAAGCTCTAAAGCTTAATTAGCAAATCAATTAAGATCACTTCCCTCTCTTGCCAACTAGATAGAACTGCCACCTTCTGCCCTCTGCTCTCCATCCCCACTTCAGTGTTTTCAGAGTATTCCCACCCCGGAGTGGACTACCCAATAAGCAAGGTAAACACAGGCTTACTTTGGCTTACAACCCAACCTAACCCAACACAACCCAACCCAAACCAGCCAAACCCAACCGAATGCCCCTGAGTCATTCAGATTCATAGCAACCTTAGTAGACAAAGTAGAACTGTCCTTAGGTTTCCAACACTATACATCTTTAACAGAGCAGATAGCTTCAATTTCTCCCACTCACCGGCTGGTGGGTTTGAACCATTCACCTTATACTTAATCCATTGGAACTCCTTTGTGGCTCTTTAGTAACATGTAAAGTCAAGGTAGAACCATGCACTGTAGATTAGTAACTAAGTACAAGGGAGCCCATGCCTGCCTTGCTTACTGGGGACGCTGTTCCTGTTAGGGATTGCACATTTAAAAAGGAGCTTTGGTTCTCAAGGAAAATGCTACGGTGTTGGGAGAGAGACAGCTGCTAACCAGACCTAGAAGCAGAATCTTTGGTCAAAAATGTGAAATTATTCAAGACAGATTGCTAAGTACACACAGAAGCCCAGACTTAACTGTTTATTGGATAAATCAGTCGATCTGGGCCTCCTTAGCGTTTCCACTCACAGTGGATGGTGGGGCGTGGCATTCCACTGTAATTAAGAGTTGCTGTTGGGTAAACATTGGACTGCCAAGGTCGGTGATTCAAACCCACCAGCCCCTCCGCAGAAGGATGAGCCTATCTACTCCTGTAAAGATTGACAGCCTTGGAAACCCTATGCCAGGTCACTGTGGTACTAGCTCGATGGCAGCAGGTTTGGACTTTTTAACTGGAACCCCTAGAAGGTGCAGCACACATCATTCTGCCTGCATCTTTCTATCTGGCCCAGTCCTCGCTTGCTCGAGAAGCTGGGCTCAGCCTGGACGTGGTGCAGGCTGGATGGTGTGGTTGGCTGTCCCGTATATCTGTGGAAAACAGAGGACCAGGCAAAGCAGATGGTTCCTCTTGGGGCACCTTCAAAATAACGGCTAGCAAATGGTGGTGGGGG